GTTCATAAGTGTTCGCAAGGGGAAATTGTAATTAAATTATCGCAAAAAAGGGTTTATTAGGCTCTATTGTCGTACCTACGTATGTAGTAGGCCTATGCATTGCCATTCCCATAAAAAAAAACACAGAAACTGATGACACAACCTAGGGCTTACTACTAGCCAAGTAGTAGAGCCAAGGAATTCCACATTGTGTCGAAAAATACGGTGCCGTACGCTGAAGAGTGTTAGAGTTAACTATTATCGAGATATCGTACGGTACCCATGCTTTATCGACCCATAAAAATAGCCACACACTGGCGGCAATAGTAGAAGGGCCTAGCCAAGCTAGTGGGGGAGGGGGATGAATACAAATAAATAAAATAATATTATTATTATTAATATTAATAACAATAATGGTAAAAAATGCGGTTTGGCTCAGTGGTTTTCATTCTGGTTGTTGAACTTGTAGTCAGCAGGAGTACAAAGCAAACCCACATTATGCTAAGCCATAGGTGCAAGTATTTTCAAGGCATATAAATAAATTGTAGTTAAGTATCAAGTCTCTTTAAAAAAAAAAAGTAACAGACTCTATGGATGGCAAAACGAAAAAGGGAAAACAACGTAAAAGATTAAGTGATGAGATCGATATTTATTGGGGAAGAGTGAAATGGTGCAACACAACAAGAGAGAAAGATTGATTTGGCGTCGATATCATGAGACATTTGTCCGGCAGTGGACCGACAATAGCTGATGATGAAGCCTCTGAAGTTATCGACGTAATTATTGACTTACCACACACCCTGGTCAGTCAACAACTGTGAACAAAAATAATCTTAAATATAGAAATAAATAATAAAATTAATTAATCAAAATTAATGCCGAAATAGTACAATGAAAATCCAAATGGAAGAATTGAATAAGGTCAAGATGTTGTGGCGTTTTTTTTTTATAGGAAATATTTCTTGTTACAATACTTATCTAAGATGATTGAAAGATTTTCATCTATATCAGACATCTAAAAATATATGATGTTTAAATCATTAGAACCATAAATGAAGTTAGTCCAGTGAATGTTTAAGTCATTGTTACGTACATCTCTTTCCATTTCATAGAATTATTAAGTCTATGATTGATTTTAATTTAGAACATTCAAAGAGGAAGTGATCTGCTACCTTCAACATGCCATGATTCTTTAAGGACTTCTAAATCAAGGCAGTTTGTACGTGCTTTAATTTTTTGGTTTGCCCCTTAAAATTAGTATAATACATACTTCTCAAATTTTGGTTCGCCTTTATATTGTCTGTAATTGGTTAAGGACTTTTTAAGTTTGGCTCGTTCGAACCAGCTCTTATTATCGTTACATTTAATTTGTATTTTAAAATCATTCAACCAGGCCATCTGGTTTGATATGATGTTGTTTACGTACATATTATGTAAATCACAATTAAGAAGACATTGTTTAATGTTACTAAGCCATTGTCATTTCAAATTACCATCAATTGCTTTGATTGCTTTTAGTAATAAATTTGGCCACCTGGACTATTTAGAACACGGCGATAGTATGATACTCTATAATAATTTTGAAGTGAGGCAAGTGACTGCAATCAAAGTTCGCCATAAAGGGCTTCTTTTGCGATATTTCTAGGTGCTTTAAAATACGTCTTGCCAATAAGTACTGTAGGTTCTTATTTTTTTCAATAGAAAAGCGACAAATACATAACCAAATGGGACAAGAATATAGTTAATAACAATAATTAACAGTAATAATAATAATAATAATAATAATAATAATAATAATAATAATAATAATTATATTGTTGTAATCAAACGCATACAACCAAGGTGGCGCTTCACTGACCAGACTCTGCAGACATTTTTACCTTAAATTTCGCGTCCAGAGGGTCATAAAACGGAGCAGTACCCATCCTTCTTCGGACCTCAGTCGTAAAATTCTTATACTCCTGTGTACTTGGCTCCAGTATGTGTATATTGAAGATACTGCCAAACGCCAAGAGGGCGTCATCATCCCTGCCGTCATCTCCCATCCAAGTGTTGTTTCCTACGTATGCGTAGTCGAATAAATCGACGGTGAAAAAGATGTAGTCACCGTCGATCATGCCAAGATCAAATGCGTATAGCATTATATCACGAACATCCCCTCCGTATGCAAATATTAAGATAACTGTAATGAAGATCATGTTATAATACTTGTTTGAATTTTAACTGAGCTACTGTTTTCGGAGCCCAACGGCCCTGAGCCACGACTAGGGCCCTAGACGGCCCTCGCCCTCATGGCTATACAGTTCTACCTGCATTCATAATTGCTTGTTTTCTTCTTGAGGTAGGCCTATTATAAAAGATGTAGTATAAATTAGTCTAGCACCATTAGTAGTAATAGTAGTAGCAGCGAGTAGTGGTAGTGGTGGTGGTGGTGGTAGTGGTAGTGGTGGTGGTGGTGGTAGTAGTAGTAGTAGTAGTAGTAGAAGAAGACGTAGGAAGAGAAGGTGGAGGAAATAAAGAATAGCATTATATTTGTAGTAAGTTAAATTATTGATTTAATGGCAAGTGTACATTGTTTCCAGTATATTAATAAGGATAATATTAAGCCTCTTACTTCTAGCTTCATCTATTGTTTTTTTCAATGAGATAAAATGAGGATCATCTTCTCCAATCACAGAAGATTCTGTCCCAGGATCAAAACTAACGTACTGTGAAATAAACACGCCAGCATCTTCCAAATGATTTCGCACCTCTGATGAAGTTAATTGCCAAACATGTTCACTGGAGCAGAGTATGGCAGCTCTCGACCAATCAAAACGATGGAAAATCTCTACGATCATTGGTGCGGCCTTGTAGTAAGGACCAACAGTACGAACAAATGTAGGATACTCAAGTTTATTAGACAAAGATGTCGACGTACAGCCCCATGAAATCATAGGAAGATTCCAAGCCGCTGACAGTAGACCCGTGGGTTCGCAAACACTGTCACAGCCTCCACCGATAAAACCATGAAGATGAAGAACTGACTCGTGTGACCAGAAATCAACCACTTCGTATAGTCCATCACCCGCGTCACAGTGTGTATCATTCCAAATAAAGCCAATGGATCGATTTTGTAAAAGTGATTTGTCTTTTTGAATGTCGTCTACGGCTATGGCAGCTGCGCTAGCTATTTTTGGACCGATTGGCCAGCTACCAGTATACGGCAACAAGACTCCAAGTACGACATCAAAGGTTTCTCCATACAGTCCAGCACCCCCTAAAACCAGATCGATTAACGAAATAACGAAAATAAATCGAATCATATTTTTGCGTTCCTTTAAATAAAACCTTAGGAATTGAAAACAAAATTTCGTTTTTATCTTGACGTCATTGTCTTTAGCTTCAAAAATCTTCAATCCGGTAGAAATAATTAACTTGAAAGGATGACTTTCCTGTGAAAATTACAAAATTGAAGTTGTTATTGACTTTAAAGCAAATAGCATTAAAAATATTGTTAAATAATAATAAATGAACTGAAATTAAATGAGTGTATGACAAAGCCCATTAGTCAGTCTGGAACAATGGTGGCGCCAGGATATGCCCGACTGGGTGAGAAAAGATATGACAATTTAGAGGTTTCAAAGGCTTGTTTAATCGATGTTGGAGTTTAATAATATGTAGAAAATACACATACAATTTTTTTTTCTCTCCGACGAATTTTGGTTTTCTCCAATGGGTAGGAGGGGGTGGGTCGGCTCTCCCCAACGGGGGCCCAATAGAGCAATTCATTTATGTATACATGGTCAATTATTAAATGGTCCATAATGACAAATTCATGGGATAAATCTGACAAATGCATAGATGATAAAGAGTTGTCATTTCAGTGGTAGGCCCTGCTTTCGAAACTTCTTTTTCAATTTTTAGCGTTGCATGTAAATTGTAGTGACGATATTGGAAGTGGCTCGGACTAGTGTGTAAATAAAAAGATAACTTGTTTGGGGAGTGGAAGGGAAGTCGTTAAAATTAGGATATAGATAATAATTATGATGATAATAATGTGAGGCTTATTCTAGTATGCTTTGTGATAAAGAAGTCAGGTGACACTTGGACACCTAAGTAAGTGTAACTCCAGTCAAATGGGACTTGGGTTGTAATTCATACGTTTTCATGTACCCTAGTGAGTGTAATACCAGTCATGTGGGACTTGGGCTGCACTTTGTACATATTTACTACAGTATTTTAAACATTAAACTACATAGAAACGTTACGCTACTGTTTTTGTGTTGTTTATATATTTGCTTCCGGACAGACTAGGCCTAATGGGCTTCGTCCTCGTTCCAGTTTTCAATCGAAAGCTCCATGTACTGTTATTGCTACATGTATATATAACTACCATATTTTAAATATATTACAATTGAGCTAACATGAGTCATGTGGTAAGTATCTTTCTTCACCAACAGCCTTAATATCAAAGACTCATTAAACATTAAATGTTTCCTTAATTATCCTTTTTATTATCCTTTTTATGTAGTTTTGACATGTTTATATTTCAGAAACAGATGCTGAATCGATTCGCCATATTCATGACAGAAAAGTACAGGTGTCATCTCTATAGATGTCTATTGTAGGAGTATTAATTCTTGTTGCTATAATTCTGTGCTGATATCTGTATTGAAACCAATGAAAGTTTGTCCCATTTATAGTAGCGCTTCTTCTGACGATATCTTTACTTTATTTACTTCTTTCCATTTTTTCAGAATTTTCTCAAATGTTTAAACGGAAAAGTATTATCAGTGTTATTGGTCGTTATAGAGAGGAATTGAGGAATGGGCCTATCGTTTAATATTATTATTATTATTATTATTATTATTATTATTATCATTATTATTTAGAGAGTGAATTTTTAAGGCATGGTAAAATAAACAAAACTGATGCTCATGTGTCCAGTTGGAGGTTGAGCTGGGAAACAGAGAGTATTCTGAAGACTTGAGCGTGCCTTAAAACTTGTTTTTTAAATATCCTCCTTTTATTTGCTTTTCTATAACATAACCAAGTGACAAATAAACTAAATGTTACTACGGTCGCAAAATCTAGATATTATAAACATATAGAATTCGAACAGCCTCTAAACTTTCACTAGCGTTAAAATAAAATGTTACTTTAAATGGAGCCTTGAGTGATTTAATTAAATCATTTATCCCTTTAACGTCTCGCGGGAGAAACACAATTTCAAAAGAATTGTCACTTCTAGTTTTCATCTTGCCACTCTTTACACTATGTTTTGCATATGTGAGTGGATAAATTGAAATAAAAGTTGAAAATCAATTGCATGCCGTGCAGTAGAAGGGCATCGTCTCAACGGCTCTATCGAAACCAGGCTAGGCTATGATAGGATAGGCTTTCGAAATACAGTAATAACAATGCGTCTCCACCCTTTCACAAAAAGCTGGATCGGCACTTGATTATTAGTGTTCTATTAGCAAATACCACCTTTTGGATCTGTCGAGGTGTGTATCTCCATGGTCATAAAACCAAGAATTGACTAAATAATTAAAACTGCTTATAAGGTAATCGGATAAGACTTGCCAAAAGCAAAAACACCACTCGAGACTTATTGTTATTTAAAAACCTTATACAATTCAAGTGATTATTTCATGTGTGTGATTAATTATTCTTATGTTACTAAAAAAAATGATATAAAACTGCTTTCAAATCCATGCAGCCTATCTTCTTTTAGTAGTCATACTGTTCTTCTTTTAAATCGAAACTAATCTCTACTCCACATACCATAGGGTAAGTGCAATACTAATGATGATGATGACGATGATGGTGATGATGATGATGCAGGGGTGGCGCCAGGATTTGCCCGACTGGGGGGCCGAGGTCCCCGACGAGGGGGCCGATGCCCCGACGAGGGTCAGATTTCCCCGACGAAAGCAAAGTGGGCGTGGTCGAGCTTCGATTAAAAGGTCTCGAAAGTGGTCCTGGGGGCGAAGCCCCCGAAAATTCTGACAATTTAGGGGTTTCAAAGGCTTATTTAATTGATTTATAGTCTACTAATATGTAGAAAATACTGTACATATAATTTTTTTTTCTCCCCGACGAATTGTGCTTTTTCTCCCCGATGGGGAGGGGGGGCAGCTCTCCCCGACGGGGGGAGGGGGTCCTTTATTCAATGTTATTAAATTTTTGTTTAAACCAGATAAATAAACATAAGTAATGTGCATACAGATACTTTGTGACTAAGCTTTACACGGTCCTGTAATTTAACTTTTAATTTAAAATTTACTAGTGACGGTGTTCGTTTAATTCAGCAAACCTACTTGAGATTAAGAACAATTTATAACCGTCTTTGGACAATATTTTGAAGGCAATTGTTTAGATATTTGTCGGTGAGTACAGTTGCAATCTTGGAACAAGTTTTCAAGGCTAAAGAAGATTAAGAAATGTGTTAAAAAGAGAATTTCAATCTGAGTGTTTGAGTGTAATAAAAGCTGTGTTTTTAAGCCGTTGGTCCCGTGTACAAATGGGCCATGTGCACGTTAAAGAAAGCAGTTCACTCTTCAGAAAATAGTAGGGGATTGTCTCCCGGTGTACTGCCCAACCACCACCAGAAAGACCTCACTAGAAATAAGTCTTCTCCAGACATTCGTGGGTTAACCTTGGAGTTCACACCAAATAAATCTACCCAAATCTATCCAGATAGTGATTTAGTTTTTTGGGAATCCTTTCCTCCATTGATGTTCACCTTCCCCGCCATTTTTCTTGTACTTATGTGTCTGCCTTGTATCTGTCTAATTGTACCATTGAGATAAATGAAATGCAATGAAATCTAATACTCGCCGAATCAACGCCAAAAAGTGCAAATATAATCAGATTGTAGAAAATGACGAAGGCAATACATTGAATGTTATTATGTAGACAACTTAATAAGATAAGATAATTGATGCACTACTAATGACTCCAGACAAATACAAAAACTAGGCTTATCTTCTGCACTTAATAAGGCATCGGATAAAGAAATCAATCAAGATTAATAAAAAAAAAAATAATAATAATTTATTGGTTCGTTGTTAATATTCCTATCAATTTCTACCGATGTTGGATCAAATTTGGCATACAAACGAAATTGATAATTAATATTGGTCCGACCATAACCGAACCGGCTGGAAACTTTCTACGGCCTGCCGTAAAGATAACCTTGTCAAATGAATATGTGTTGAACATGAACGCATGAAACTTGTACGCGAAAGAAAGCTTCAGTTTCTGTTTTTCATAAATATTAACGTTACCGCTATATTTATTGTAATTTTTTTCGAACAAATTTTATTCACATTCAAGCTCGCATAGGAGGTCTATAAACAGCGAAAAACCTAACATGTCATTCAGTCAATGAAATAAACGAAGACTAAATCACACAGTAAATGTATAATCAAATTTCAAGCGATTATTGTACAACTCAATGATTAAATTCGTTTTTAAGATTGAATAAGAATAGATTATTTAATAATTGAGCATCAAGCAGACTCATTATTACATCATCGAGGCCTATTGCATTTTTTTCCTAATAACCATTCCTGCATGTAGATTGTTCGACGACGAATTCACTTCTAGGTGACTGTCGCTATTGTCCTCACCTTCTATATACGTGACGAAATAGATTCTGACCCCACCCGTTATTCAGAGGAAGAACGAAAACATGCACAGTTTTTTATATGATGTCATTATGTACAATGCCTTAACCTCGTCTCAATAAACACAAATCGGAACCTCCGTATTTGTCTGCACACCCGACTACGCACTGCCGGATAATATCTATTACCGTCACTTGTTAGGCCATACTTTTGTGTTTTTGAGAAGCTTGCCTTTGCCTAGCAACGGGTTTGTATGGACTTATGTACACTTGTGCATTTACAGATGTATAATGATAAAGAGGCGATTAGTTATATTCGATAGTGTGCCTTCGCCTCCGGGAAATAGGGCTGTCAACAAACTGCGCTGCATGTAATAAAATTATTATAATATTAATATGCCTAGCCTGTAAGTTATTGTGTTTCAAGTATCGTGAACTTTAATGAGATAAAACTGGTGGTGGTGGTGGTAGTGGTAGTGGTGAAGAAGAAGAGGGGAAAAGGGAGTAAAGAGGAGGAGGATGTGGATGACAAGAGGCATGATGATTATTATTATATAATGAATACGATGATGATGATTATGCTAATCATTAGGGGAGGGGTTTCAATCCCTCGCTGTGCATTTCGCTTGTATCCTTGAGCCCAAATACATTGCTTCAGTCATACCCAGCTAGCTGTAATTAAGGGTACCAGAAAATTGCTGGGATTAACCCGCGGTGGACCAGCGTCCAGCCCAGGGGGAGCATCACGCTCTTATCCGCTTAACGCTTGAAACTGGGGATAAGCACCAGCTTATTAGTCCTGAGTCCTGTCTATGGCTC